TTCCAGCAAGGGACACGCGTCAATTCCTCTTCATATTACCAGTGGCGAGGGGTGAATGATCGATTATCGATATTGTCCAATTCGAAGCTATGGTAAAAGATCGATTATTAAGGTGTTCGCTGCGAACACCCTGTTTATCGATCCTTTTCCATAATTTTAAATGACAGGTCAATCGATATATCGCAAAGTTCGCCACGCCATATTACGCTCGAGTTCGCCTTCCATAACCGTGGTGACAACATGAGGGGCTTCGGAGCACGAAATGTTGCGCGCAGTAGTCTCGTCTCTTGCGTTCTATTAAACCAAATTTGACCTTAAATACCAGCAATTTTGCACTTCGAAAAGTTGTTGGGTTATGCCATGTGAATGGATTACTTTGAATTTTTGCCTTTTTCAGTACGTTCAACTTAAAGCGATTATAATTATAACGCATTGAACTTTGTAAGAAACTGGTAGAATTAGTGTGGGCCTCATTGCTGCATGACAATTGATACAATAAGATCGGCCGTGGACGGACAATAATTGCGCGATTATCAAGTACTCAAGAACCCTTTAATTTTTTTTTCACTCAGATAAAATCATGGTGCAAAAGTTTTAAGCTGGCAGCCTTGAAATTTATTGTCAGTAGGCAATAAATATCCATTGGAATCAATCATCAATTCGCAAATGATCGCACCTTGCAAGAGGCCCATTTGTATTCCCCTGTTAATTTTTCTTTTTCATATGACACTCGGAAAAATCAGAGATTAAAATTACATAGCAACAGACATCTACATACCGACTGTAGTGCGAAAACTATTTGATACAAATGCTGATTCAAGGAGCGATACCTGGTACAAAATCAAAGTAGCCTAAAGTCTTAAGACCACACCGTTAATATTATACTTCAATGAAATTTTCAAAACTCCGAGCATCACATCCATCAAATTAAACATTTCAATATTAAAGCTTAGTTACGTCAAATTGAGTGAGGTCAATTTCTCAGTCAAAACAGTTTCAAATGCAAAACCGTTGCACATTTTTAGTAAATAAATCATTAAATTGATGCAAAAGCAATCAAGCAAGTTTTAATAGTCAACGGATGACTATCTTAATCCATTTTACCTCTCGGAGAGAGAGAGTACTCTCTATGATATAGCATTGATGAAAGAGGTTTTGTTATCATTCCTACACTCTAGTAGCCAAAATACTAGCATTAGATACGTATCATTTGGATATCGTCGGTAAGTAAATATTCAACATGTATCGAATACTTTATCAAAATGCGGTATATGTAATATATATGTGTGTAATATATATTTTGATAGGTATCACATATCATACCTTGGCTACGAGAGTTCGTCTCATAACAAGGATGCAATGCATGAATAATTTTAGAAATCTCAAAAATAATTTCAATCGTCTAAAATCGTCGAGAACAATCGTCTGAAGCGGCTCAGTTCTCTTTTCGGAAGTAAATAAATGCATTAAAAGTATATTAGACACAACAAATTCCATGCAAACACACCCAAAAAGCAATTTTACCTTGCCAATTCCCTTCTGCAAATTGTTAAATTGGGAGTAAGTCGGGGGCTAGATCCGGTAAACTCTGATACTTTTAGCTCCAGTATGCTTGTGTAAAGATCGTAATTATCTTTTGTCTCTATTAAAATAATTCAGAACGTTTAAAAAAGGGGAAGGGCGTGAAAGAGGAGATAAAGATGTTTATGTTATACTCCTCACTTTATAGATTATGAAAAAATCCTACAGAAAAGTATAGAGACTCTAAAATTAACACGAAAAAGTGGAGGCTAACTTAACAGACTTATGGAGGCGTGCAAAGATTCAAAGCTATCGTTCCTCTGTCATTCAAAGACCGGTCTTTAAATACCGAAAAACCGGATGAGCATTTCTAACTTCCCTAGATATCATCAAGCAAGCTTAGTCCATCAAAACTAATACATGGTGGAGCGAGTCAATGTGAGACGTTGGACAATGTGTGGAAACTTAAAAAGCTCATATTTCGTTAATACAAAACATCTAAGTTTAAAAGTGGTTCCATTGATTTTTTTGTAAAATTTCCATTTATAATCTAAAAATTCCATGGCTGACCTCTTTCAATCGCTTGTCCCGATACCGAGTGACGCTTTGAAAATGGCATATGTTGACAGTGAAGCTACCGAAGCACGTATCTCGTCTGCGGTGTTTTATAGTCTGCGCTCTTATGTTATTTTTTCAAAAGAAAAAGAATCAACTTAAGTTCTTCAATTTTTACAGAATTTTCTTCGCACAGAAGTGAAAAATCACGGCACTTTCTGAGGGATGCCGTTGAGTGGTTTTCCATTTAATTAAATAAGAGAGGACTTCTGCGACGTCCCAAATTGAGATACGTGGTTTGGAAGTTTCACCGTCGATGTGCCCTCACAACTAAGCAGACTTTTTTTGCTTGATGATATCTAAGTAAATCCTAAAGTCACATCAGATGATTTGATCCATCAAAAAATGTTTGTCGGGTAAGTAGAACCCCCAACGTGAAGTCATGTCAGTAATATGTCCATCTTTCTAAATCACGGTTAGCTTACTGTATTTTAAGAGTCTTGATGAGATGAGTCAATCTAGTTTTAATTTAAGTAAATTTTAGACCTAGGAATTATGATATTATAATGTACCTAGCAGTATTTACCCGATTTTTCTGCGAATCTTCAGAGGAGAGCCGTTTGACGACGCACTAAGTTCTAGATGTATGAACTACCGTGAAAGAAAGATCGCGGTGAACGGAGGTTTTATCACTGTCGGAAATGGGGGGGGGGGTTGGAGGGGCAGCAAAAATGGTGAAGAATCTAATTACAGACCAGGGTTGCCAAAGCAGAGTACGGTCTTATTTGAATATGTCAATGCAAAATTTTAGCCTCTTTCCTAGTGGTTTGACAACCGCGCGACGGTCAAATGCAATTTAATTTATTTGGGGATTGGAATGTGTTTAACTAGAGTAGTGTCTGCAACAAAAGGCTGCCCCTTTTCGGCCTGTACATATGGAAGATCGGTTTTGATTAAGATTTGAAGTACATTTCTCAGGGGTCATTGGAAGAGTCAACTGTACCAAACAGCGATCATTAATGGAAGTAAACTTTGTATGTTGTAGAGAAATAAAAAATCAGCCTTATCTAAGAGATATTTTTAGGACCATTAAAATGTATGATTAATGTTGATGTAGTTGCTGTTTATTCGTGAATTTAATTTAATTCTTAATCCCCATTGTATCTTTGACTATTCGGGGTATCTAATCAACAGGTCTGTAAAAGTGGAAGCCATTCAAGAAAAATTATACCCCTATATCGTATAATTTGAGGATCATCAAACATTATTCGAGCACTTAGTATGTTAGATCTCTATCCAAAAATTGACAGCTTTATTAAATAGATAGCTTTGGATTCTACTTAGTGTCGTTTAAGTATGCGTATACAGGGTGTCCTGGACCATCCGTGCCAGGTTTTTTTCTCGGTTGCTTTAGACGAGGTCGAGGAAGGAAATTCACCCCAAGGAATCCGAATTTCATCGTCAATGAGCAAGTCTGGCCTCCTCTTATGTGTAAAAAAGGGGGGGGGGTTCTCGCATCAGATGTCGAGGTGAATGTCAAAGTTGGAAATTATACCATCGAAAATCAGGGAGTACAGAGGATTTCAATCTATACTGACACCATCCGTTTTAATCGGCCGACCAAAATCCGACATACCAACCCCTAGAGATAGGGGATACCCCACCAAAAAAGACTAGTTCCCTAGATTGACGTAGAGGCTCGAAAAAATGTGTTTATCGGGTAATCGACCTTGAGGAGATAAAATTTGACGGTCTAGTAGCCCCTTAGAGGCTTCGCTAATGGGAAACAGGAGGAACAAGTAAATTTAACAATTTAAGCCCCATTTGCGAAGTCTTTAAGGTCCATATGACCGTTTAATTAGTCTAATTCGGATTCCTTGGATTGATAACAAATGCAAACATCTTTTTCCCGAGCCTATACGTCAATTAAGCAAGCTAGCATTTTTAGCGGAGTCCTCTCTGTCCCACCCTCAGAGGTCAGTATTTTGAACACAGGGTCCGATTTTGGATTTCTTGGTGTCGATTTAGGTTAAAACTATAAGTGATCCCCGATGTTGATGGTACTTTTTCAAATTTTGACTTAAACCGAGGCCCCGAAGTTTAAAGTGAGGACCCCCCTTTTGCTCATCAAAGGGGCCGGGGATGGGATTTCGGGTCGATGCAAACCGGATTCCTTGGGGTCATCATCTCCATCGTCTTTGACTTTGTCCAATCTAAGGCAACCGATAGAATTCTGGTACGGGTGGCCTGGGATACCCTGTGCTTTTGAAAGTTGACATTTCGTATGATGGTTGCTTCTAGCTGTCACTCGCGTTAGCCTGTACAAGCTCGTGGGTTAACATAATTTACCCTATTCCTTTTTCGGACTTCCTAAAATGGATGCTATTAACGCTCTTTAAATATCTCACCACTTCGTATTTAAGGCCAATCTAATACTGAAAATCTATCTTTAAACTTCCGATGCAATCGGGAATGTCAAAGTTCTGGTTTCGATGTGATACAAGCTCCTGATTGAGGAAACCTCAAATGTGTCATGTTGTCGTATGCATGTCCTTTATCGGCTCTTCATCTTACACTTCATAAAATCAGCTGATTGATAAGTAATACAGTCCAAAAGTCGGAATGTCAAGTTGCTTAGTTTTTTCCCACTGAAGATATGACTTGAACTACGCACAACTTACCGCTTAGCAACACAATAAAACACAAAATACGTTACATATAGTGAAAATATTATTCCATGGGGTTAGGATCCAGCACGTCGGATGTTATCACATAAACGAGAACAAAATTCGAAGATTCGACTGCGAATCGAATGAAGTAGCCAAAATATGAAAGATAGAGAGAGGAACAAGAGAGAGGTAAGATTGTCGAGGTACGTTCAACAATGCAGAAGTATGGCAAAGTAAATCGGAACAAACACTCACGATGGCAACTTAATTGTTCTGAACAAAACACAGTAACACACTTTTCAATCCACGCACAAGAACAGAATCTTCACCTCGGGCGAGACAGGTCTGGAATGAACTCCCTGATAGTCAACTGAAAGCCAGTGTATTAGGGCCTGCTCCCAATTCCCAATATAAACCTCTGCAATGTGATCTAAGCCTGTGTCGTCGCCTCCCATTGGGTAGCCTCCTCGGCCAATCGCGCGCGCCCTCTTATCGTGTACCATTTTTAGCCTAAGTCTTTTCTCTATGTCTAGTCTAGGCTCGAACGTCATTGTTTTACATTACACACTTTTGCGGAGCGCTCCTCCAACAACAGTTACTTCCGGTTACTTTTTTGCGTTTTTTTGGTTCGTTTCCACCGAATTCTTCGCGCCCCGTCTGCCGCGTTCCCCGTTCGAATTCCGCCCAAGAGGTAGCAAGTTCATGGGTAATCCCACGGCCCGACTTCCACTTCGGTGGTAATCCGCTCAAGAATCATGCAACGCAAGTGAGCGCCACGTTCCTCCCGTGCCACGCCCGCTCCAGCCCTATTTCCCTAATTCAATTCCGACGCTTTAATTATTTCCGTAAAACATTCACGTCTTCACCTATATTCTCCTCCCTCCCGCCCCATTCCCTATATATATATCCATTCATATTTCCTCCTCCTTCCTATTTACAATTTTTCCCGGACATCTTCATCCACTGCCTCGTCGCTCAGTCTTCACAGGATTTTCCAGTGATCCCATTTCCCGCAGCTGGTTCCAAATTCCGGAGCTTTCGAGACTTTCCTGAACTTTTCCCGGAACTTTTGAAATTCCCAAAATATTCCCGATCTTTTGAATTTTCCGGAACTTTCTCGGAACTGCCAAAAAAAATCTAAAAGGAATCCCGGAACTTTTGGCGGTCATGGAGTGGGAGAAATTGGAACAAAAAAGCTCCGAATTCTGGAACAAAAAAGCTCCGAATTCTGGAACAAAAAAGCTCCGAATTCTGGAACAAAAAAGCTCCGAATCCTGGAACAAAAAAGTTCCGAATCCTGGAACTTTTGACGGGCATGGAATAGGAGCGCTGGGTTTTTCGAACTCATCGCCCTCGAGCTTTAAATGTCTCGTCATTGGGTCTTCTTTGGCTTTTGGGTTTCCTTCCTCATCTTTTTAAGAGATCTAGGTATGGACATTTGGGCACCGTCAAGTAACTATATTTTATCACGAGGACATGGGAATTGCGTGCTCAGTATCAAGCACACGTTTCCGCAACTTAATGACATGATATTTAATCATAATTTATGCGTGATCTCGATTTGCTAACTTACGTTATCCGCATAGCATGTTTTACTTTTTAACCGTTCTTGGAGGAGCTGGCGCGGTCATTGGTCGGTTTTGCCGTGGCCATTATATCTACGCTGCTGCACTGCCGTGCTAAGGAAGAACGCCGTAAAAACGTTCGAGAGTTGCCAAATTTCCTTCGAAAAAATGTCCATTTTTGAGAAAAGTAATGAATATTTTCCCTTGAAATTTGCAGGATCTTTAGATGAAATTGCGAGCAAAATAATCTGAAAAATTGGAGAGAAAATATTTATAAGTTTACTAGGGAATTCGTGTTTTATCAAAAGAAATTTGGCAATGCCGGGGGGGTTCATACGGCGTTTTTCCTTAGTACGGCAGTGTAGGGGCACTCGGTAGCTTATGGGCAATACCACCATTAGCGATGCCGGTAAGAAATCACATGTTTGTGATTTTTTAACAGGTTGTTACGAAATATTTTTGGGCGTGCGGAAAATATTTAAGAACATTGCAAAGTACCATACTATGCGGCTTCTTCTACGCTTCAGAACAGTTTTTTCTTGGAAACCTGATTTCGTCTTTTATTTTAGTTTTTACTTTGGTGGCGATGCGATGAGAAAGCTCGGGAACTAATTTTATGTCGTCTATACACAAGCTTGCCGCAGGAAACCTGTCTATACTGCCGAAATACGCCGTATGAGTCTTCAGACGTCGCCACATTTCCTCAGACAAATTACGGATTTTCGGGTAAATTGGTGGATATTTCCCCCTATTTTTCATAGAATTTTGTTCATAATTTGATCCCAAGTGTCGGGAATTTTCAGTGGACAATATTACTACCCTGGAAAATAAACATTTCCTAAGTGGAAATTTGGCAACATTCGAATGTCCATACGGCGTTCTTCCTTAGCACGACGGTATGGGTTCCCGGTTTAACTTTCCCGCGAACCCGAGCGGTCTACAATCTCTCGCTCCTTAAAAATCCCCGTTTTTTTCTCCTTTTCATTTTGATTTGCCTTCCCCCCCCCCTTGGTCTTCCGGGGCCGAGTTGGGTCAAGTACGTCAAGAGTACAGCGAGACGCAGCTGGTCTGCCCTCCCTGCTCTCTGGTTCCTCCCATTGTACCTCGCCGCGAAGCTACTAAGTGTGGAGTCGGATGAACTTCGATACCCTGGCCTTCAGTATCGACAACCACGCTGACCTTTCTGGCGTACCTGGGGAGACTTCGTCACCTTCCGACTAAATTATAGCAAGCACCTTGCAACGTTTCAAAATTTCCACCGCCATTTCATTTTTGAACAGAGAAATTGTTGGCTGAATCTGTTTGAAAATTTAATTGAATTTTATCGGCAGCACAAAGAGTTTTCAATGAGATTTTCGGACAGCTGCGTTGAACGATTGCTCTGTAAAAAAAATAAATAAAAAATTAAATTTTTGAACGTCGCATAGCGCTTGTGATACTTTGGTCGGAGTGTAACGACTTCCCTCAGCCGCGTGGGGACGGACTTTGCCAAGAATTGTGGGACAGGGGTACCATCGGAGAATGATAAGGGACATCAGAAGGAACGAAAGGTCCATACTCTATCCATGAATTCAGGATGGAAGTGCAGAATGAAATAATCAACGTTTTCATCCACTCATCCATCGGTTCGAGACCTTCAAACAAACTGGAAATCGGTCAAAATTGCTCAAATATAAGGGTAAAAACCGCTTTTTCACAAGTCCCTCGATGTATCTCGAAAATAAACGCTTTAATTATCCATATTTTTTCGCTAGTTCAATTTTTTTACGCATAAATTTGAAGAATCGCAACGCTTTCATGAACTCATTGATCACACGGACATTAAAGCAAACCGAAAATCGGTCGAACGTGCTCAAAACTGACTTTAGCCTGTGTTACAATATCAAAGCTAGCCATCAAAATATCAAGGCCAGGTGTTGTAATCACTCATTCGATGACTTTAACCGTCCTCGAATTTTCCATCAAATTACCAAAATTCAAAAATCTAAGATGGCGGATGAAACCTAAAATGCTATTTCGACTCTGTTCTATCGATTTTTGTGGAACTTGGTGCCAGAAATTACTATTTGACGTTAATTTCGAAATTGCAAAGTCATACATTCTCTTGAGTCAAATTGAATATACCCTAGTAAAAGTGAATCAGCCTGACATCAGGCTATGTTTCATAAACTACCCTGAGTCAGACTGACTTAGGTTGATGTCAGACTGATATCAGCCTGAATCAGTTGGACTTAGGGTAGTTTATGAAACATAGGCTGATGTCAGGCTGACTCACTTTTACTAGGGTAAGTTAATTTTGCAATATTTGGGATGGATTTACGTTCCTCCTCTTGGTAAAATAAGAATTGGACGCTATTCATGGTGACGTCACCATGGAAATTCACCGATGTATCGAATTGGATCCAAACAAACACAATCACATAACGTCTTATCTCCCGAGTCGGAGCAACACATCACTAGCAATATATTTGTAGAGCGGAGCAATGCCGGTTCACGTCTCACGCCACTGCGCCTTCAATTTTGTAGATGCAACACGGACATCCATCAAGCACGAATAGTTGTATCTCTGCGCCGTCGTCAATGCGTGTTCTTCCTATGCTCTGTTTTCGTGGTGTGTTTGTGTGCTTTTGTCTCATTTTTAGTATTCCGGCTTAAAGTGCTACCTCGACTTCTAGTCAATCAATTTTGGTGAGAGTTTGGTATGGCGGGGGATTTTTTTCGACGGGAAACTCGACTTTACAGTCTTTCAAATTCTAAAATCCTTTTGGACGTACTCAAAAATTCTGGGTCGGCTACTGTTGGATCTATTTTTGTGAAGTTTGGCACCGATTGAAAACCGGGAGGCTGAATTTTTCCGATTTTTTTTTTAGCATTCTTATTGGACGCATACCCTACTGTCAGACGCGCGCCATTAATGAGCTTCCTAACTTTGAGTTGTTTGGCACTATAAAACCCCAGCTCATTTCATTGGGGTGAGAAAGACTCTCAGATTCGTCCAGTTAGGCTAGGAGCAGTAGCGTGGCGCGTGTTTTCGATATATTGATTGATCTGCCATTTAAACCTACAGAAAAGGATCGACAAACAGGGTGTTTGCAACGAGCACCTTAATAATCGATTCTTTACCATAGCTTCAAATGGGGAAATATCGATAATCGATCATTCACACCACGCCACTGGCGACGAGCTGAATCGACGTGAAATACTGCCATTCCAATGAAGAACGCTGTATGAGCATTCGAGAGTTGCCAAGTTTCCTCCGATAAAATATGTATTTTTGAGAAACATTATCAATATTTTTCATTGAAATTTTCAGACTTTTCAGATCAAATTACAAACAAAATTGTCCGAGAAATTGGAAGAAAAACATGCTCAATGTTTCTTGAAAATTAGTAATTTATCGTAGGATATTTTGCAACGCCTGAAGGCTCATACGGCGTTTTTCCTTAGCACGGCGGAATACCCGTGATGGTCTCACGATCGAATTCGCTTGACCACTGAAGGCGGCGTTCGGCGCTGCATCCAAACGTCGAATAATAACAAAAACGAGGAAATATGCGCTGCACATATCCACGATGGCTGGCCACTCTCCAAGGCGAGGCGACGCGGTCTTCGAGAATAAAAACAGCGGCCCCCGTCAAGCGTTGTATGGCGACATGACTATTCTTAAAATAATTTTATTTTCGTCAGACTTCCCGTAAATTCTCATCCTTGATTATCCGATTTTACCGGGCGTCTGGTATCTCCTGTCCTGGGTAACGTGTCAAATCCGCAGCCCACCACACCTTGCCATCCGCCTTAATTCGCCGGCAAAAT